TACATTTTGAATTGTTATATATTTGCATACATATCTACTTTTCAATATGTACGTGACGCTTCCGGGAATCACGAGCGGCGAGTCCATTCAACTGCTGCACGAGATCGATAACATGTCCAGTCAGCTCGAAGCTGGGCGGTCTGCGATATCACCTTCACTCACGATAGATCAACATCAACGGCAGAAACAACAGGCTATTCGTCAATAACTCCCGAAACCAAATAACGGACGGCTACTACAGTGTGTGCTCGCTCAACGAAGAAATCTTCAAACCCCAGCTCAACGAAGAAATCTTCAAACCCGTGGGAGACAAACTCAAAATGAACGACTCGAATGGAAATGAACGACTCAAACGGAAATGAACGATTCGAACGGAAAAAACGACTTGAGACGGACGTTGGCTAAAACGCTCGGGTTTACATCGAACCACATACCACCGGAAACCACCATGATTGGCACGAAATTACCCGATCTCGTTCCATATTGGGAACTGTGCATTCATCTCGATCAGCTGAGCACGACGACAACAAATGGGTATTAGTGCCATCCCAAATCGACTGGAATCTCAACATCACGCTCGACTCTCCACACGTTTTCACAGACAACAAAGATCACTACCTGACGAAAGCCATTAAAATGGAATGCTGCTCGTGGCTTACATCCCAACGCAAAGACACAGTGTGATCGTCAGCACGTTGAGGCAAAGGGTAGCCCACAAGCTGTCGAGCAAACCTGGGATGCAAAACGTGGGATTGTTGATGCTGTCGGAATTCGACAGCGTGGTAGACTTCCTGGAAAATCTGCCAGCGATAACCACGCTGTACATCCAAGTCTACCTCTGCGAACCGCCGTCAGCGTATAACGTCGTTGAAATCGTGAAAGGGATCAAAGTCCGCTGGGCCAAACAACAACAATACAAAGTTTGCTCCGTTTACGTGCGGGTGAACGTTAACGCCTACACCAGTCTGCAGGGAGTCGCCGTGACCGTGGAAGATACTATATCGCTCACCGAAATTTTCGTACTCTACAACATACATCTCATGAGTTTGAAGTGCACGTGCGAGGAATTATCCGATAACCAATTGAAAACCATTTCGTAATACATTATATATAAACGAGATGAACCATCATCCCAATGTCCCTCTAGCCGATCTCGGAGACACGAGGGGATTCGATCCAGACCATTTATATATACAAAAACTTGTACTTCATCAGCTTAAAGTATATTCATCAAACATTGACTGAGGACCATAAAAAGAGTATATATGCAGAATGGGATTGTACCTGGTCGTGGATGAAGTGGCGAAAACACTGGAAACCGTAGACGGGTTTCGTTTGCGACAGATATGCGAGATCAAACAACAACTAGAACGTGAACGCGATACACGGTCGGCATTACAGAAAATATATAACAGGGCCGTCAATTCCGTGGACGGTGTTGACAGCGCTTTGATTTCAGTCAGCATGGGATTAGGCGTAGCAGGTGTCGGGTTATTATCAACCATCGTGGCTGCACCTGTGGTGCTAGGCATCTAAATAACAGCTGGAGTGACAGGGTTGATGGGATTGGCGCTTAAGTAGGTGTCTCGCAGACTGCAACGTAAAGCATTGAAACACGACAAAATTAGAATTCTAGCCGAAGCGAAGTTAAACACGATAGACGATCATATTTCCACCACGCTCACCGACTCTAAAATCTCTGAGGAAGAGATTCGTTTGGTGCTATCAGAAATCGCAAAATATCACAGAATGAAACAAGAGATTCGGACCAAGTCTCGTAAAATGCCGTCATTTGCAAAGACGAGAATATTTTTTTCATAGAACAAGGAAAGCAACAGGCCCAACACGCCTTCATTACGAAAACCAAACAAATCATAGCAGATTCACAATAAACTGTTTTGCGGACATCAACATAACGTAGCCAGCCATCTCAGCGAGCTGTAGGTAAATAGCTGAGCCAAGACACACACACACTGCGACTCGCCCACAGCGCTCACTCAATGCTACCGAGATGGCAGCGAGTCCACCTGGGGCAACTGCCGAGAGATGCGGTATGATTTATTAGAAATCAACATAACATTGCCAGCCAGCCAGCCAGTTGGCTGTACAAGCCGAGCCGAGCGACACACTGTGACTCGCCCACAGCGCTCGCTCGGTAATACCGAGACGACGACCCGGGGAGGAATTGCCAAGAGATGCGTTTCATTCAATTTCAGACATCTGTAGCCTCGCTAGTCAGCCGGCCCTGCATCATCATAGCCGAGCAGAAACACACACGCGCACATACTTATACTCGTCCACAGCGCTCGCTCAAAGCAACCCCGAGAAGGTAGCGAGGTGATGACTTCCGAGACCTGCGTTTCATTCAGCTAAAAACGCCTCTTGCCTCGATAATATATAACAAGAACTACAATACGTTGGATTGTTAGCCTTTCAGCCAGACCGACCCCATACTCACTAAAAAGTGATTATTTCCTAAACGATTTGACCGATTTTCGTGAAATTTTACATGCATCTCGGCAGATGGTTACGCTATAGCAAAACGGCATTGGGAACACACTCGATGACTTTATTAGATTAATTAAGACTTAATTACGACAAAAAAGTTGGACATTTTGCCTTTTCCCAACCGACCCCATGCTCAATTAAAAGTCAACATTTCAGAAACTATTCGACCGATTTTCATCAAATTTTGCATGCACCTCCGTAGTAGTATACACAATGGGGCTACGGGATTAGGGACTCCTCAAGGCTCAATTATTAAATTTAGCCCTTGGGGGGGTACCTGGTCCCGTAGCCCCATTGTGTATACTACTTCTGTTAACATACTGTGTCGATCTTTAAGATGATGAACACTAGAATTTCTACCTTTGCCTTTGATTCTCTGTATCATGTTCCACACCTTCGTCATTGGTGAACGTGAATTAATTCTTGATACAAAGTCCTTCCAAGACTGACGTTAATTTATCTATACATTATCTAAATTGTGAACTGTAGGGTGTCGTCGAAAGTAGATCTCTGCCTTTTTCCTACACTTCCTTCTTTGTTTACAATCATCAGAAAACATTACCGGACCGGGTGAGCGTTAGGTACTTGTACCAGCCGGGAGAAATGAGGGAGACAGCAGAAAACGCGCCACCGATCCAATATGGTCCATGAAAACGTACAACATAAACCTTGTCGACATCAAAGATGGCGAACCGAACTTGTACTACTTGAAAGACAGACCGCCGAGAGCATTCGTCAGAGAGGAGTTGATGATCGTACCTCACGACACAGTCCATCTTTTGGTATGACGCGGTCGGGGATCGAACCCGCAACCTTCCGCTCTTCGTGCGGACGCTCTAACCACTACACCACGGAGGCGGTCCCGAATTAAGTCAAAATGAGTTGAAATTTGTGTCGGGATACTTATAAACATACTTTTATTCAACCTCCAAAACATGAATTCTGAAACTAAATATTCTCACCCATGGACCGGCTCATAGGCGATCGAGTATAGATTTTGAGTTTTCAAAAAAAATAAATAAATTTGTTCATCCTTATCGTATATTTATGACAACTGCATGTTAATTTTGTCAAATAATTTGTCAGAAAGTGAGGAGAGTTTCTGGACTTTTGGGTGTCCAGAATTAAATTGTGACGTGTTATAATGTAGTTTTGTAGGCAAAGATATCTCACACAAAACACAGACACTCAAATTTGAATCCAAGATAACTGTCCTCCATATGACGTATTGACATAATGTTCTTGAGGCCCATTTTAAAATTTGGGATAAGAAACCCATCAGCGGGACCAGTACCTAGTTTTTGAATACTCCAGTGAGGTCCAAATAGTCATTACGCATACAAACTCTTAACTTCATTGAATTAGTTGTTGTGAAGAAGGTTTTAAATGAAAGAAATTAGTAAAACCTAATGCCAACATTCAAAAAGTTTTTTTCTGTCGTTTATTGGAAAAAAAACATTATAAAATGAGTTACGTGCGTTTGTGATAAAGATATACCTGTAGACAATAATTTCTAGCAATTTTACTGCCATACTCTTTACAATTAATCCAGCAACAAGCTTATCCATACCTGTATTCTAGCACTACCTTCTTCAACACCTGTATTCTAGTAAAACCCGTATCCACACCTGTATTCTAGCACTAGCTTCTTCAACACCTGTATTCTAGCACTAGCTTCTTCAACACCTGTATTCTAGCACTACCTTCTTCAACACCTGTATTCTAGCACTAGCTTCTTCAACACCTGTATTCTAGCACTACCTTCTTCAACACCTGTATTCTAGCACTAGCTTCTTCAACACCTGTATTCTAGTAAAACCCGTATTCACACCTGTATTCTAGCACTACTCTTATGCATAGCTTCTTGCACTACCCGTATTCCTAACTGCATTCTAGCACTACCTTCACCAACACCTTTTATTCTAACACTATCTTTATCCAAGTATTTTAGCACAATCCTTATCTAAACCTGCATTCTACCACGACCTTCTTCAGTATCTGTATACTAGCACAATTATAACCCATACCTCTATTCCAGCCCAAACTGTAGCGCAGTCCAAAATGTTGCCATGCTTCCTCATCAACACGGGGAGGGTTGGCTCGTCACGCTGAAGACTCGGGTTCGAATCCCCACATGGGTACAATGTGTGAAGCCCATTTCTGGTGTCCCCCGCCGTGATGTTGCTGGAATATTGCTAAAAGCGGCGTAAAACCAAACTCAGTCAGTCAGTCAGTCAGTCCTCATCAACACTACCTTAGTCCTTACTTGTGTTGTAGAGTTACCTTAATCCATTATCCAGCAGTCCTTTAATCAACATTCGCAATTACATGGCCCATACCTGTATCATCAGACTGCATTATCAATACCTGTATTCCAGTCTACAGTACCTTAATCGATACCACATTCAAGCAAATCGCAACCCATAGTTATACCCTAATATCGGCCTGATCACTGGTTTCAGTCTGACAAGACTAGTATGAATATTTTTCAGGGGACAAACCCGACAGAAGATGACTTCATCCGGAGACAAAAGCGTTACATGGATGCCTGCGCCTCATCAAGTTCTGGTTCAATTCTGGAAGTATTCGTATACGAGCCAAATCGTCTCGCTGTCTGCCACACACCAAAAGTTGGATGCACATTTTGGAAAAGAATCATGAGCTATCTGCTACAAGAAACAGGAAAGACGGTTCAAAGCCCATACGAAATTGACAGATATTATATCCATCACGGTGCAAAACCCAACCGATTTGCCCATAGATCCACAGACCCAAGATTGAAGGCCATGTTACCAAACTTAACACGTGTGGCGTTCACGCGTGATCCTTATTCCCGACTGTGGTCAGCCTTTGTTGACAAAATAATATTACCAGACTCCTGGAAGGATCATGGACTAAGTATTTACAAACACCGGAGGCTTGGTAACGTGGAATGTCCCTTAAACATAACATTTGAAGACTTTCTAATCTATGCAACCAACAAAAGAAGCGATGTACACTGGAACCCACTGTACACCGTGTGCAACCCTTGTACATTGTTTCCCCAATATATTGGCAAAATGGAAACATTCTCACGGGATACGAAATACATTCTAAATAAAGTTGGTCTTGGATATTTGTTATCTAACAAGAGTCAAACGAGCCATGCAGAAGATGAAATGCGGATGCTAATTGCCTATCACTTTGAACTGCAATCAAGAAGAGACATTAATAAGAAATGTCTCACGACGACAGACGTCACTAGGAGACTGTGGCGGGCCTTTCAATTTAACGGATACATCTCACTTGATGAAGTCTTTCCAGAGCAGAGAGTCCAGGAGGTAGTAGATGGATTAGGTGTTCCACAAGCTAGAGATGAAGTCACTAGACTGATTCTTCAACATTACAGGGATAGTACGGCAACAAATGTGAAGAAACAAAGACGTACTGTTCTGGTGAATGCATATAAACAAATTCCTCTTGATCTTCGAGAGAACATCCGCAAAAAGTATGAACATGATTTCGATCTATATGATTACGAGCCATATCCAGCAGATATATTCCCAGAGAAGACTCACTGACCACTTGAGTTCACTTTATCAATATATGTTGGCCAATAAGCTACATAGCAAAGCTTCAGTATATCTCTCTCTCTTGCTTTATTGTAAATATTTGGTTTGCGATCGTATAGATATAATATTAAATTCTTTTGGGTACAAACATATACTCACTCAATACATTTGGTTTATTATACGCAGTGATCGCTTTAGGCAAACATGTCAATGCACAGAAAATCTATGCCTGCACTGCGATGCAATAAAATGTGAGAAGTCAGTTGGGCCATTGTGCACAGGTAACTCTTCCCTCCGGTCATCACTGTCTATACAATGGACATGGGCAGTTAAAACAAAGATGGTTTATGTTTGACATGCGAGCTGGTCATCTTGAATGGAAACTGTGAGCGTGGCACGAGATGACAAATCACTCAGTTCTGGGTTAAGGGGTATATATGGAGGGAAGGTGTAGGTTGTAACCATCACTTGCACTCCAGAAATAAACGGATCACGTCACACTACTGTGCACACGGTTTCCTTCTCTATTAAAGGTAAGCAGCTCACTAAGTCTTATTGATGTATACATGTGTTTTGTCATATGCAATACTAGTGTATTATTGTAATTATTGATTTTATTATTATGTAGCACAAGCGTTACTTTGACTAATGTTTACAAGGTGTATTTCCAGACTTGTATGCAATGTTTAGGTCAATTACGTTAAACTATAATGCAATATAGAATTTCTGCGACAAATTTATGAAAGTAATCATTGTATCTCCCTTTGCGAATGGTATGTTAAGACATGAAGTTGTCTCCCTTCATTGCTAGCGACGCATCTAAAAATGATTACCAACCTTTAGAATCAACGTAATGTGTCAGATTTGTAGTGTACATATTGTAATGTATATGTTGTAATGCGTGTTGTTTTATTTAATTATCACGTCATTAATGGACAATGTTGAACTATAGGCTAGGTGCAGCGTATCACGCAAACTGCCTTTTACATGTGTAAACCTGGAGATTAAATGATATATTTTGTGGATCATTGCTGTAAGTAGCCTCCGGCCACACTCGTAATCTCTATTAACCAGGAGCCCCTTTGTCTACCTTGTGTACCATTAACCTGTAATCATGTATAATTGTCTTTATGTCACATGTGTTTCATTGTATCAGTTTATTGACAAGAAGAAACCATGTGACACCGTACTTATTGTAAAATGTTGTTAAGCCATTACCGTAATAATTCTAAAATATGGAATGTTTAAATTATTTACTGTGTATGAACTTCTTAGATTATCAAACTGTGTATGAATATCTTAGATTAACAAAATTCCGTTTCTTTTATTTTTGCATTAATATTTTATATAATCTTATTGATTGTTCCGTAACAATCATCACTTGCACTCCAGAAATAAACGGATCACGTCACAATTCTGTGCTCACGGTTTCCTTCTCTATTCAAGGTTCCCCAACAACGCAATTCCCCATCTTAAAGTGAGGTCTCTACTTCTCAACAAGGAAGAGGCCTCACAAACTTATCAACCAGACGAAGTCGTGTATTGAGACCTGTAACCTCACGATTTCAATACTATTTCTACTGGAACATAATTTACTGGCATCACAGGTGGTGTGATACTCGTCCGAAACTCGTAAATCTTCGCACGAGTTTAATCAAAATTTCACAGCAAATGCCATAAGTATCCCAAGAATATGCAAAATTAGTATCATTAATTCGTAAATTAAATAAATATAGATACATTTTCAAAATCGAGTTATTTGTATAATACAGCCGACGGAGTTTTCGTTTTACGCCGCTTTAAGCAATATTCCAGCAACATCACGGTGGGGACACCAGAAATGGGCTTCACACATTGTACCCATGTGGGGATTCGAACCCGGGACTTCGGCGTGACGAGCCAACGCTTTAACCACTAGGCTACCCCACCGCCCCTTGTATAATACAAACGTAATGCATTCAAGAAAAGGAACATAAAAAAACTATGATGTCAGGATATAAGTGTTAACCAATTAGAAAGATGTTTCTGAATGAAAGGTACGATTGAGGTCGACGTATCTGCCATTACTGAAAAGATACTTGCACTTTCACAACACAATGAGAAGAACAGCGAAGCAAAACAGTATTAGACTATATGTTTCCAGCATTGTATTTTCAATACTATACGAGTGGTGATTGATGAGCTCCGCGGCTGAAAAAGTACCAATCATCCACTGTAGTTTCTACGATGCGTTTACTTGTGCTCACGAAATAGACATTTGACGTTGAAAAAACAAAACAAATGACTCTAACAGAGGTCCACACTTCTCAAGAGTCCAGGCCTAAGTAGTGTCACGTGCGATATTGTCAGAGAATTGATAACGGGGGACCAACAATGTTGAAATTTATTTATTATCAATATTGTTTGACCAAGAAGACCATACCTATTGAAATATTGTTTTACAAAAGTATTACATTATCAGGGGTAGTGTTGAATGTACCTTGATTATGTGGTGTCATAAGCTACAAAATAACGTAACTTAAGAAATGTATCTCCTAAATTTGATTGTTAAAAGCGCATAAGGCCACTATCTCCATGTTCTTCGTACGAAGCTTTAGTGAGGAACTCGTTCTTCACAAATTCCTGATCAGCAGCTAACATAGACCCGCCTTTCCAGGCTGCATATCTCCATTTAGGGGAGGTAACTCTTGTGTGTTGGCTTGCTCCTGACGTGTTCAGTTCTTCCTCCAGCCTCGCCTTGATGCCTGGGATCTCTGCTGTGCCCCCTGCCAGGATTATGTTCGAGTAGAGAAGTGGTCGCACATCTTCATCAGACTTGTCCACGGCATTCTGAATCAGCTTATGGAGAGGGTGACCACTTAAGCCAGTCAGGTTGGGAGCAAACATTGCCTCTGGACAGAAGAATCTTTCCTTCCGGAGACCTATCACAGTACCATCTGTCATCTTGAAGGTCTTCTCGATGCTGTCTGGTTCAGTGGATAATTTCTTGAGCTCGTCATGTACATCAAGACTGACATAGCACAACGTTTCCTTCATTTGGTCAACTTGGTACTTCTGGGCCCAAGAGGCGAAGGAGTAGTACCTCTTCTCCAGCAGTTGTTCCAGATAGTTGGAGAGACCTCTACCAGCAAGTTCCAGAACACCGATTGCCTCGTTAACCATCGTACCGTTGTTGATCGGTATGACACTGGTTGAATCATATCCCGAATCCACGACTAGGCCTGTTTTCAGGTTATAGGCATGCAGGGCTAAAACTGGGTTGTGTCCCCAGTATAGGGCAGGCACTTCCATAGACTCAAACAATATCTGACTCAGCCTCCGTCTAGTTTCAAATGGACAACCCACAGCTTCAGTTAGCAGAAGAGGATGGTCTTCAAGGCTGACTCTTAATTGGCTGTAGGCGTGTCTCCACACCAGCTCAATGTCATCGTCATCTGTCACCAGACCTTCCTTGATGACGGTCCGTACATCTTCAAGATAATCTCTGCTGGCAGCGACCTCGTTGCCCACCAACACGTGACCTGTACCACTGGACCCCTGAAACAAAGCAAACTTCGAATGACTTCGCACACAGAAACACTGGGTATTACACTGGGTATTACACTGGGTATTACAAGTTACACTAGTTTGCTTATTGATACAGACAGGTTGAAACTGTTATAGCAGTCCAAAGTCAAGTGAAATCACACCAAAGCAATGGCTGGCTTAGCAACACTTTCATCAGTTTCATAGGGTTAGAAACACATATAGAGAATACTAAACGATGTCCCGTGTAATACCATATTTATGAAACGAGTGAATGGTATTGGTATCGTGAATGGTATTGGTATCCAAACCATTCACTCGTTTCATAAATATGGTATTACACGGGACATCGTTTAGTATTTTATTTATTACTCACCCAACATTAGCAAACTATTATCGAGCAAAGTACTTCTTTCCTAAGAATTCAACGAGTGTGATGACTCTCAGCTTTCCGCGAGTCAAGCAAGGTCTAATAATATTGTGACAGAGGTATTAGCATTGTGACGTCATAACTGTAAACCAGTTTTACGTCATACGTACGGCACTACGTGATGTTATTACACAATGAGTAATAACATTGTAAAATTATTAAACAGTAATATCTTCAACGGATGAGTAATAAATTCGATTATGTGAAATGTTCTATGGTGTATGCTATAGTAAAAAAGGTTCTCACTCAGCACAACCTGTGAGAGTCCTGTGATAAAAATAGTCAAGTAACCTGTTGTTATCATTTAATCGTCTACATTTTGCCGGTGTACCAAATGATGAACCTACTTTTCATGTATAATATTTCTTTCCGGCCTAACTGATTCAAGCCTATGGCATAGTTCCCATGAGGTTTAAGGATAGAATATTCATAGGCTAACATAACACAGAGTTTGGGGAAAACATCCTGACAAAACACGCTGACTTGGTGACGATCCACACGGGGATTGATAGTTACTTAAAGGTCACATGCAACCAAATAATCAAACATAATTAAAACACAATTACCACTTATTCATGACATATAATATACATTGATGATTATGAAAAAACATATAAACAAAATTATAAGCGTACAATCGCAAATCAAAATTGCAATATTTTTTACTTGGGTCTACTTCCCTCGAAATGAAGCACCCGGGATACCGAACCCAGTCGGAGCGGGTGGGTGTGCACTCAAGTGTAACGAGTGCATTCATTGGCTGGTTCATTTGCCGATTACCTCACGGCTCATTGTGTGTGTGTGTGTGCGTATGTGCATGTGCGTGCGTGCGTGCGTGCGTGCGTGCGTGTGTGTAGAGAGATGTTGGGTTTTGTAAATACATGCACATTTTTTGTGTATAACATTTTGCAATCAACAGACATCATAACATGTCATGTGTATAAATATCACACCTGCCTGTCTGTGTAATTACATAATGTCAGAGAGACAGAACTCGGGCCATAAATCAATGCGTTCTGTTTATGGTGTATAGCCTGATAGGTGTTAAGTTCAAATTGCATGTGGTCAGTGATCGCAGTTGTGTATTGAATATTGTCATTAGCAGACGGGCAGGCAGACACATAGGTGTCAATAAAACAGACATTCAGTTTTGTCCCTGACAACGACATATCTATATCACAGTTAGAAATTCTGTCAACGCTAATCACATTGCTTTTGAGTATCGAACTGAGAAAGTCACTCGGTAAGAAGAACGTGTGGTGAAATAGACAAATGAAATTATATACTCTCCCAAAAAAGAAACGCATCATGAAAATAGCAATTACATGTAGCAATGAATTAAAACGTGATTTATTTTACTAAAGGTTTTGCTCTGTTTATGAGTCCTATGGTGTGTATGTTTTGAAACATCACAACAAAACGCACCATCCGTAAAATACCCGTATTTAACAGCATGATTTTCAATTTCGGCGTGTAGTGTCACAGAATACACGTGAAAGTTGGGGATCAGATAGTCTCAATGATGGGTATAAAAGGTTGATCGCTGTCTGTCGAGTATTCACTGTATTTGGAATATTGTTGACGAACGCAAAATACCACGTCTAAGTGAAGCCAACCGTCATATCGCCATCGGTTTGCTTGAAGCTTGCCTGCCTGAACGTGCAGTTGCCCGACGCATGAATGTTCACCAAAGCACCATTTCACGGCTCTGGGAGAGATATCGCCGGCAGAATGCGGTAGCAGATGCCCGTCGTAGTGGGCGACCTCGAGCGACCACTGCGGCGCAGGATCGCTACATCCGGGTACATCACCTGCGTCATCGAACAGCTACGGCGACCAATACCGCTCGACAAATACCCGGATTGAGGAGGCTTTCTGCACAGACCGCCAGGAACAGGTTGAGAGAGGCTGGTTTACGTGCCAGAAGACTTTATTTTGGCCCTGTGCTTCGACAACAACATCGTCGACATCGAGTTCAATGGTGCACCAACGTTCAGGCCTGGAAACCACCGAATTGGCGTAGAATCTGGTTCAGTGATGAATCGCGATTTCTATTGGAACGACGCGATGGAAGAATGCGGGTGTACAGACGTCGACGTGATTTCGCGGGGGTTTTTTTCGTGATTTCGCGGGGTTTTTTGTCATCGCATTATTTTTCAACTTTATAAGTTGAATTTGCATTTTTGATGATTTGTATCTGTAAGTCCATACCGAAAGGTATCAGAATCTGCAAAGTTGTGGTTTACGTTGCATGTGACCTTTAATGAACGTTCAATATGAGGAAGATCAGTACCTTTTTCATGGGAAGAAATGCATATAAACAGCTGTGTTACCCGTTTGTCAGTTTAGAGTTTGCTTATAAAGAATTAGCACAACGTGGACAAACTTTAGGGATATCAACTTCTATATTTCGCGAGTGTGACGTTTCGATACAGATTCGTGTACCGTTGTTAAGCAGGAATGTAAGATGCAGTGGAGGCAAAGTAGATATACTGAGTGTAACAAAGAAAAAGATAATTAGCATAATTGCCTAGGCAGTAAGCTGATAAAGGGGGAAAGGCATTCCAGGAATGTTGCTTTAGCTTATCATGATGACGAAGAAAGACGTGTTTATCTTACTCTCTAAGTCAGTGTTCCGCAGATATTTCTTGCTGAGATTTACAGTACTTTGTGTTTTGTAGTGTAAGCTTGAAGCATAGTTGGCGAAACATGATTTGGAAAATGAGTTAGTGGACTGTATATTTTGCTATTTTGTTACAGGTTAGATTGTTCATGTAAAATCACCGTGCTTGTTTTCTTCCAAGCAATCTCGGTTTGGTACGTAAGCTTGTCACGTATTGTCCGTGCAGAAATTTGCTTCGCGATTTACACTTGTCGGGCACTTTGATAGTGCTTGCTTCGCAGAAAGAGCTGTGAATTCATATTCAGACGGCGAAGATACAGCCGAGTATGTATAGTACCCATCAAAAGTTTACACTCACTAGTACTTTTCAAGCGGGTTTTACAGAAGGCTGATAGTATCTCTGGACTAGAAAGATTTTCTGAGAAAATAAACTGCTCAGGTGCTCCGATGGTGCCATTACTTGGGTCTGTTTTCGCTTCAGACACTGTTGATGCAGGTGCAGACACTGAGGATTAGGCGCCCAGGGGTACCCGGTAGTAACAACGTCTTATCCAATGATGTATACTACCCATCAAAAGTTTACACTCACTAGCGTAAATGTAGCCTCTTACTTCAGTCAACTGTTCTGAACTAGATTTTGCAAAATATTCCATACTGTTTAAAGGTACTGTTTACACATGAACTGATGCATTGTAAAACAACTTCTTAACGTTGAAGTTATTATTGTCATGAGTTCAATAAATGATGAAACTCCGTGAAAATTGTTAAATTCTCAAAACTTTACAGCAAAACGCAGCTGTTTACATGCACAATATTTGCACATGATTTTCAGCAATTTGATGCATGGTCAATTCATCTGCATAAGGTTTGCAGTTGGTTTCCCCAAGTATTTGATGCATGGTCAATTCATCTGCATAAGGTTTGCAGTTGGTTTCCCCAAGTATTTGATGCATGGTCAATTCATCTGCATAAGGTTTGCAGTTGGTTTCCCCAAGTATTTGATGCATGGTCAATTCATCTGCATAAGGTTTGCAGTTGGTTTCCCCAAGTATTTGATGCATGGTCAATTCATCTGCATAAGGTTTGCAGTTGGTTTCCCCAAGCAATTTGATGCATGGTCAATTCATCTGCATAAGGTTTGCAGTTGGTTTCCCCAAGTATTTGATGCATGGTCAATTCATCTGCATAAGGTTTGCAGTTGGTTTCCCCAAGTATTTGATGCATGGTCAATTCATCTGCATAAGGTTTGCAGTTGGTTTCCCCAAGTATTTGATGCATGGTCAATTCATCTGCATAAGGTTTGCAGTTGGTTTCCCCAAGTATTTGATGCATGGTCAATTCATCTGCATAAGGTTTGCAGTTGGTTTCCCCAAGTATTTGATGCATGGTCAATTCATCTGCATAAGGTTTGCAGTTGGTTTCCCCAAGTATTTGATGCATGGTCAATTCATCTGCATAAGGTTTGCAGTTGGTTTCCCCAAGTATATGATGCATGGTCAATTCATCTGCATAAGGTTTGCAGTTGGTTTCCCCAAGTATTTGATGCATGGTCAATTCATCTGCATAAGGTTTGCAGTTGGTTTCCCAAGTATTTGATGCATGGTCAATTCATCTGCATAAGGTTTGCAGTTGGTTTCCCCAAGTATTTGATGCATGGTCAATTCATCTGCATAAGGTTTGCAGTTGGTTTCCCCAAGTATTTGATGCATGGTCAATTCATCTGCATAAGGTTTGCAGTTGGTTTCCCCAAGTATTTGATGCATGGTCAATTCATCTGCATAAGGTTTGCAGTTGGTTTCCCCAAGTATATGATGCATGGTCAATTCATCTGCATAAGGTTTGCAGTTGGTTTCCCCAAGTATTTGATGCATGGTCAATTCATCTGCATAAGGTTTGCAGTTGGTTTCCCCAAGTTAGTGGAGAGATTCATCTTCAATGTAACCATATAACATATAGTAAGTGCTTTAAGTGAGTCTAAACTTTTGATGGGTAGTATTTAACTTTCCTTCTAAAGATTCCATGAAATTTCAAACTGTGGAGGAAACCACTACGCAGCTATTTAAGGATGTAATAAATCCAAGGAAATCCAAAATGTCAAAGTTTCCTATTAAGAAACTGTAC